CGCTGTCCGCCAATAAGAGGGCGCGCCGCGCAGGGAGGGGCGTGTCCTGCGGGGCGGGGGGCGTGGCCTGGCGAGGCGCGGCGGTGCCGCAGCGCCGTTGCGGGCGGGGCGCCGGTGCCGCCATGTCGGAGCCGGGGGCCGCGGGCCCGGGGCCGGCCGCTATCCAAGTTTCCAGGTACGGCCCCCGGGGGAAGGCAGCGTGGGGCTGGGAACACCGGGGGCGGGCACAGGGGCCGGCCCGTAAGAGGGCTGTTACCGGCGGCGCTGCCAGCACCGGTAACGCTGCCAAATCTGGGCACGGCAAAGCGGCGCCGCGCCCTTCCGGTGGTGCGTGTGCGGGCAGGACGGGGAAGGGCACACCCCGGTTTCTCTGCCTTCTCCCTATACGGCTTCCCGGTATGGCCGCCGTGCTGAAGCGAGCCCTTGTGTGGGCCGGTGCCCGGGAGTTGCCCCGTTGCCACGGCGCCTCGCCCTCCCGCCTCCGCTCCGGTCTTTGCCGTCCGGGAAGCTGGGTTGAGTGTTGGCATGTGGCCGGTTCGGTCTCCTCCCGCCGCGGCGGGGTGCCGGCGAGGTGCCGTACCGGCCGTCCCGGCGGAGGAGCGACGCCGCCGCCGCCTTCCGCTGCCGGTGGAAGCTCGGGGCGGTTTCCCCCGGCGCTCGCAGGAAGCGGCGTGCAGGCAGTGCCGGTGACGTTGGTGGCATCAGCGTGGTGAGATGTCCCGGCAGCTCGTCCGGTAGGGCGACAGCCGTTGTCTCCGGGGCGGCTGCACTAGAGACCCAGCCAAGCCTGGGGGGGGGTATGGCGGGGGGGTGTGAGCTCTCCCGTTCCTTCCCCGGTAGGATCATGCGCCCGGATGACGCCAACATCGCCGGGAACGTCCACGGGGGAACCATCCTGAAGATGATCGAGGAGGCGGGAGCCATCATCAGCACCCGCCACTGCAACTCCCAGGCTGGGGTGAGTCGGTACCGGGTGCCCCCCCGGCTCCGGTGACATCCCAACCCTCCCGCTGTGCTTTGGGGGTCTGCTGGGGGTATGAAGTCCCCCGAGACCCTAGGACACCCCTGGGGGCCTCCCCCGTTGTCCCCCCCTTCACCGGAAGCGCTTGCTCCTTTGAGCAAACTGCCAGCAGCGGAAACATCCTGCTGAAATTGTGTTTTACGAGCAAAAAACTTTATTATGCTGCTGTTTATGTTTTAATTCCTGCAAAGGGCGAGTCAGAGGTGGCCCCGCTGTGGGTTACGGGTGGGGAAGGAAGTAGGGCCACAGGCTGATAAGGTGGGGGTTGAAATGCCGGAGCCACACGTGGTGTGGGCTGGCCCCGGGGAGCTGCTGGCTGCTGTCCCCTGTCCCACACAGCGTGGCTGCTGCCACCACCACCACCACCCTGCCTGTCCCCCTGTCCCCAGGAGCCCTGCGTGGCCGCGCTGGCGCGGGTGGAACGGACGGACTTCCTCTCCCCGATGTGCATCGGCGAGGTGGCCAACGTCAGCGCCGAGATCACCTACACCTCCCGGCACTCCGTGGAGGTCCAGGTCAACGTCATGTCCGAAAACATCTTAACAGGTGGGTTGGCTGTCCCAAAACTCCAAAAATAACTGTCACAAGCTGAGACCTCGTGGCGGTGACCCTGTTCTCCACCCACCATCACCGGCAGCATCGGGCAGAGGGGACATCTTGCCTTTTTTGAAAGCGCTGGGGGCACTGGGAGGGGAAGCCAAGCTGCCTCCCTGGGGATTACAGCCCCACTGATCGTTTTTAGGAAAGAATGGAAAAATCTGCTGTTAACTCCTCCTCTCTAATTTGCTGCCCGTGGCTGCCTTGGCCTGAAAAAGGCCCTTTTCCTGCCGTTGCTGTGGCAACCGGCTCCACTTGCCCAGATGCCTTCCCAAAAGCGCGTTGTCACATCCGCTCCGAGCCAAAGCCCAGCAGGGCAGGGAGCAGCATCTCCAGCCTCTGCCCACCCCGTGCTGGTTGTGGGGAAAGAGCTGCTGGTGCTGGCATGGTCACCCTCTGCCCACCTCTCCTCCAGGGGCGAAGAAGGTGACGAACAAGGCGACGCTGTGGTACGTGCCCTTGTCCCTGAAGAACGTCAACAAGGTCGTCGAGGTTCCCCCCATCCAGGTAGGACGGCTCGCTCTGCTCCCCCAAAACCAGAGCTCACCCTCTCTGGGGGATGGCACTAACCCGGCCCCGTTGGCACCCCCCAGCTGTGCTGGAGGCTTTGCTGACCACGTTTTTACTGGTTTTTCCTTCCAGTATGCGAGAAAGGAGCAGGAGGATGAGGGGAAGAAGCGTTATGAGGAGCAAAAGCTGGATCGGCTGGAAACTAAGCAGAGAAACGGCGACGTGATCTTCCCCGTCATCAACCCAGGTAACACCACGGGTGGCACAAGACCTGTGGAAATGGCTCCACGATGCTGGGAGGTCAAACTGGTCCCCAGGACAATTCCTGCCATCCCCAGGCACCCAGGGCTGTGAGCACACACTCTGAAACACTGCGTTGGGGATGGTATTTTGGAGCTGGGTGGGTGCCTGTGATCCCCTCCTTGGGCTGGGTGGGATCTCCTCTGCTGAAACACTGTTCCTGCCACGACTCCTCGCATTCCTCATGTGCTCTGGGGCAGCAGGATTTAGTTTTGCTCAGCGTAGGGTGAACGCAAGCGTTGGACGAGGGTTTTGCATGTTCTTCAGCTGCAGCCCCTCTCTGGAAGTCAGATTTTGGCAAGAAATTCATCGGCCGGTGTTTGAAGGGGAGGATGAGCTATGGGGAGGAACTGGGGGTCACGCTCTTCTTGGGGGGTTGCTGGGGATCTTTTTCTACCAAAAACATTGCCCTGGCTTCTGGAAATGTGGTGGTGATGCTGATGGAGAGCAGCTGTGGCCTTCAGGACCAGCCATGGTCCTGGGGCAGAGGCGAGGGGATCGCTGTGGGGGGTTGATGCAGGATGGAAGTTGCTCAAATGCTTTCTTTTCCCCTCTGTTCTCCCTGCTCACAGATAGGCAGACAAAAGGTAAGGTTCTGCGGGCGCTGCCGTGCGGGTGTCCTCCCCGGGGGAGGCCATGACGAGCAGTTTGGGGGCTCAGTTGGCTTTTCCCTGCACTAACTGCCTTTTCCATCTAACAAGAGATGCTAAACACAGCCACTCCTGAGAGCAGTTTTCCTCTGTCGGCAGTCAGAACTTCTGATTTCTGTTGTCTGGATTTAGTGGCGTGTGAGATGTCACCAGCACGTCCCAGGGCTGGGGGGGCGTGGGGCCTGAGGTCTTCTTGCCGAGGGGAAAGGGTGGCTCTTTGGAGACACTGCTCAGTGGCAGGTTTGGGGAGATGTGTCTGTGGCTGGTGGCCTGAGGAGGCAAAGTGTTCCAGCCACGTGTCCGTCCAGTTCACTCCTGGTTGCTTTTGGGCTCTTGAAAGCTTTAAAAGAAGAAACAAGCTGAGCTGGAATAAAATTGGTGGGTGGGCATTAGAAGGAGGTGGCAACCCATCGGGTGGTGAGTAGCCTCTGCTTTTGGGACTTCTTGGGGCCGATCTAAACACTAGTTTGAACATACTTCAGCTTTGCACAAGCCAGACCCACATCTTCTTCCTTCGAGCAGTTTAGGGCAGGGGTGTACGGTGCCGGCCGAGCAGCTCTGACCAGTTTGCTCTTTCTCTGCCCAGAGCCACACACCGTTGGCTACAGCCAGTCCAGCCTGATCCACCTGGTGGGACCGTCGGACTGCACGCTGCTGGGCTTCGTGCACGGAGGTGAGTGAGTGCTGCCCCGCTCAGCAGCTGGGCTGGCTTTTCCCCGGAGCAGAAGGGGTGGTTTGAGAGCAACTCGGGCATCTCAGTGGTTTTGGGAGGTGGGCTCAGGCCCCTTTCCACCGCCTGTAAGGTTCAGCGATGCTTCAGCTGAGACAAACCCTTCATCTTTCCCTATGCTTAAAAAAGGTCCCCAAAACTGACGTACTTGAACTGTAAATCCTACAACTATGCTTAAAAAAGGTCCCCAAAACTGACGAACTGTAAATCCTACATTTTTTTCATCACCTCTTAAATTGCAAATCTTGGACTATAAATACCCAGTGTACAATGAGTCCAATCTGCCAGAGTAATTTCCTTTTGGCTGGCACACCTGTGGGGTGCAGGGCAGGGTGGATGTGTGTGGAATGAGCCTGGGGAGAGACACAAGGGCTGGGGCGAGGCTGGATGTTGCTTAATTACATCCTTTGAAACAAGACAAACAAACAATGTGGCTCAGCTCCTTCCAAGCAGGAAGTTTGTAAGACTGATCTTGCCTTGCGAGACTGAGGTTTCCTCAAAGAAATTTGGGAGAGCCAGAGCTGGCTTAAATCTTAAGCCCAGTTTTGTGAGGATGTCACCCTGATGGTGCTCTTGACCGGAGTCTTAGTGCTGGGGGTTCCCTGCAATTTGGATTCAGTCTCTGGTCTGACTCCTTGGTGTAGCTTTGGTTGTACAAAGGCCTTAACAAGCTACACGTGGCTTTTTCCCAAATCCCACCTGCTTCCCTGAGACAGGACCCTCTGTATTGCCCATCCAGGTGTCACCATGAAGCTGATGGATGAGGTTGCTGGGATTGTGGCCGCCCGCCACTGCAAGACCAACATCGTCACCGCCTCAGTGGATGCCATCAACTTCCACGAGAAGATCAAAAAAGGTACCTGGGTGTGGTGGTGGGCTCTTTGCTCTCCCGCTGTGTGATGTCCTGGCTCCTTTGGGACACACAGGGACTAAATTTCTCCACCAGTTAGACTTGTTCTGTGCCAAGAAGTTCTCCTTAAGACGTGGCTTAAGCATAAAACAAGCAGGACCCCTCGCTCCCTTCCTCTGAGCAGATGCAGGGACCATCTGCTTACGTGGCCCCTCTCTGCTTCCCAGGCAGCGTCATCACCATCTCGGGGCGCATGACCTTCACAAGCAATAAATCCATGGAAATCGAAGTCTTTGTGGATGCCGACCCGTTCGTGGACGAGTCTCGGGGTCGGTACCGTGCTGTCAGCGCCTTCTTCACCTACGTCTCCCTCAGCAAGGAGGGGAAGCCCCTGCCTGTCCCACAGCTGCTGGTAAGAGCTCTCCCTACACGGCTTCGAGCCCCTCTCCTGCACCTCCTGAGGCAGACCCCAGATGCCTTTTCTGTCCAACAAATCCTTTTGCCTTGCATTATTTAGCAAAAAAAAAGGGGCATGAATGAGCCTTTCAGATCAGGCATCGGGGCTGTTTTTTATTTTAATTTCTTCTGAAAATTGCCAATGTGGAGGCTGGGTGAGGGGGTGTGTTCCTTTCTCGTGGTTGAGGACAGGCTGTGTGCTGGCTCTGCAGCTGGAGGTGCCCCCCCTGTCCCCCATCCCTGTCCCCACCCCATCCCTCCTGCCTGTTCCTCGCTCTGCGGGTCCCAGCAGGGCTCTGCAGACACGGGATGCAGGCTGGGGGCTGTTTCTTCATTAGAATCCTAGAATCGTCTAGGTTGGAAGGGACCTTAAAGGTCATCTAGTCTGACCATCAACCTCTGACAAAAAATAAGTAAGAAATTAGCAATGAAAAAAAAAATCACTAAACCATATTCTTGAGGACCACGTCAACCCGTCTTTTGAACACCTCCAGGGATGGTGCCTCAACCACCTCCCTGGGCAGCCCATTCCAATGTTGGATAACCTCTTCCGTGAAGAAATTTTCCCTAATCTCCAATCTAAACCTCCCCTGGTGCAACTTGAGGCCATTTCCTCTCGTCCTGTCACCTGTGACTTGGGAGAAGAGACCGACCCCCACCTCTCTACACCCTCCTTTCAGGGAGTTGGAGAGAGCAAGAAGGTCTCCCCTCAGCCTCCTCTTCTCCAGGCTGAATAACCCCAGCTCCCTCAGCCTCTCCTCATCAGACTTACTCTCCAGACCCCTCACCAGCTCCGTTGCCCTTCTCTGGACCCGCTCCAGCCCCTCAATGTCTTTTTATTTTTTGTGGTGAGGGGCCCAAAACTGGACGCAGCAGTTCGTTAGTAGTTCATCTTGCACAGGTCTCCTCCCGCTCTGTGCTCCCTCGAGTGTTGTGTCAGCTAATTATGTCAGCTAATTACACACCCGCTGTCAAAACACCCATTTAAGGAGGGGGGGGCAGGTTTTCCTCTCCGTGTTTCCCTCCCGTACCCACCGGCAGCATGTGGGGGGGAGAACTAACACCGGTGCCTTGGCTTTTCTTTCCATGCCCGCCAGACGGAGACGGAGGATGAGAAGCGGCGCTTTGAGGAAGGGAAGGGCAGGTACCTCCAGACGAAAGCCAAGCGGCAGGCGCAGATGCAGCAGGCTGCCCAGCACTGATCCCGCCCCGCTCCCCCCGCCTTCGCCCGCCAGACCTCCCAGTTCCCCCGTTAAATGTCGTCACCGGGCCCCGCGCCTTCGCCCACCCCAGCCTGTCGCCGCCGGCGCGGCCGCTTCGCTGCTCATGGGTTTAGTGCCGTAAACCTTGTGCTTTAGGTGGCTTAAGCGCCCCAAAAAGGCTCCGGGAGCCTTCCCGGTCGCTCGCCGTTCACCCCCTGGAGCCCCTCGTTTCACCGGTCAGTCCCGTAAACGGAGCTCCCGCCCGTGCTGCAGCGGGGCAGAGGCACGTGGCGGCACGAGGGCCGGGCGAGGCCGCCAAGTCGTTGTGATGCTGTGTTCAAAGTGGCCGGTGAAGTCCTAAAACCGCAGACCAAAGCTTTAGGTACGATGCTGGCGAGGGGGAGCGCGCCCCCGTATCGTACCCAATGTCTGGGACCGTTCCGTCGACATCTCTAGGTAGTTTCTCTGTGCACATCTTAAGTTATTTCGGGATTCCTGTGGCATAAATAAAGTCTGTTGTCGTTGACCAAAATAAAACGCCTGATGCCTTTTTCTTTTTTTATTATTATTGTTTCCGGTAGCAGCAATTTATTCCAAGGCTTTATCCCAAGGAACTGGGAAGCTCCTCTCCCCTCCCGCGTTCTTAAGACCACCTGCCCCGTTCCCTGGGATTCTCAGAACGGTACCCTCCGGTGTGGATCCCGACCCCTCCGGTGTGGATCCCGACCCCGCCGCCCCCCTGGCTGCCCCGGTACCGCTGTCGCCGGGGCCCGGTGCGGGCTGTACTGGGCCGCAGGGCCAGGCCCCGGCGGGTGCTGAGGGAACGAGGGGCCCCCGGGAACGGCGCCTTTGCCCTGGGAGGGGCGATTCCCTTTGTCATATTAAACAACAACGGAATCAAAGCCAGCCGCGGGTGAGGCCCCCCTCCAGCCCCGGCGGCCGCCATTACGGCGCCGCTCCCGGGCCTACTGCGCCTGCGTAGGGCCCAACTCTCGCGAGAGCTGCGCCGCTTCCAGAGCCCCCTGCGCCTGCGCGGGGCGGAGCTCTCGCGAGAGCGGCGCCGCCGTTTCCCAGGCGACGCGGGCGGGGCGGGCGCCGCCATGATGGCGGCGGCGGCGGCGGCGGCGGGTCCGCGGCGGGGGCGGCTGGGCCGGGAGGCCCGGGCCAGCCTGGCCGCTTTCCTGCTGGGCGCCTCGGTGGCGGCGCTGCCGGTGGCGTTGGGCTCCCCCCCGGCTTTGCTGGCCTCCCCCGGTCTGCGCGGCCGTCTGGCGCTCGCCCTACACGTGGCGGGCGTTAACGCGGCGTTGCTGTTGCTCTACCCGCGGCCGCTTTACAAGGTGCGGGGGGGGGACACCCCCGGGGAGCGGGCCCGGGGGGTGGCGGGGCGGTGGAGGAGCCGGGGGAACCCCTCCTGGGGCGTGAGGGGAAGGCCCCGGGGGGCGGCGGTCGGGGGATGCCAGGCCCGGGGGATGCCAGGCCTGGGGGGTCTCAGCCCGGGGGATGCCAGGCCCAGGGGGTCCCGGCCCGGCCTGGCATCTCTCTCCTCTCCCTCTGCTTCCAGATCGCCGTCCGGGCCTGCTTCCTGGGCTTCGCCTTCGGCTGCGGGCTGCTGCTCAGCGCTGGCCGCTCCGCCTGGCGCCATTTCGGCTGGTAAGGGCCGGGCCGGGGGAGCCTGGGGGGCTGCTGTGGCCCCCGAGCCCTGCCCAGCGCTCCCTCCTTCCTCCCGCAGGTACATGTGCTCCCTCTCCCTCTTCCACTACTCGGAGTACCTGGTGACAGCCATCAACAACCCCCGCAGCCTCTCGTTGGACTCTTTCCTCCTCAACCACAGCTTCGAGTACAACCTGGCCGCCCTCTCCTCCTGGGTGGAGTTCACGCTGGAGAAGCTCCTCTTCCCAGGTTTGGCCACCCTGCCCTTCCCTGGTGCCCACCCTCTCTCCTTGCCATCCCTTGGCTTCCCAGGTTTGGCCACCCTGCCCTTCCCTGGCACCCACCCTCCCTCCTTGCCATCCCCTGGCTAGTGCCAGCTGCGGGGGGCTCACCCAGGGCCCACCCATCTGGTAGCAAAGTGCTGGTGATCCCTGCTTAGCTGACCCGGACTGGCAGCAGAGGAGGGCTTTGAGGTGGCCTTAATCTCTCAGTGCTCAAAGCCTCTTGGTTTCAGTCTCGGGTGGGGGAAGAGCTCCCTTGCCCTGGCATGCTGTGCCCTGGCTGTGCCACGTAGCTGGTCTTCAGCCCTTTTGTAGCTGCACCTTTCAAGCTGCTTTGGTGGGACAAAGAATGACGTTACATCTGGGGGTCTTCTTTTGAGCTGGGTTAAAATCTAATCGGTAAAACCTGGTGCTCTTTGCCCAATCTGGGGTGCTTGCTTTCTGGGGGGGAGAAGGGGACCTGCTCTTCCCCACTTTGTGGGCTGTGGAGCTCCCTGTGTCCGGGTGAGCGTGTCCTCTTGGCTGTGCTTTACGTTGGCTTTACTCTATGCCATAAAGCCAGGCTCTGGTGCTGGGTTCCCCTTGGGGTGATCTGTCGTGAGGACCTCCAGCCACCGTGTCAGGGTGACTCCGTGGCAAGGGATGTTCTTTTTTATTTGTTTTGGTGGTGGGATGGCAGCACATGGAACTCTGGCTGCTTTTTCCACGTTGTCACGCTTTGAGGTGGGGAGGGGACAGCCCACCCAGCGACCCAAATTCCCCCCTCCTGCAACCCCCCCACCGCGAGTGTGACCTGTGCAAAAACCTGTTGTGACCCGGTCCTTATTCACTTGCAGAGCTGAAGCAGATCACCTGGCTGAGTACTGTAGGGTTGTTGATGGTGATCTTTGGGGATTGTCTGAGGAAAGCGGCCATGCTCACAGCTGGCTCCAACTTCAACCATATTGTTCAGAATGAGAAATCGGATACTCATACTTTGGTGACAAGTGGGGTGTATGGGTGGTTCCGGCACCCGTCTTACGTGGGATGGTTTTACTGGAGTATTGGAACACAGGTACCGTATACAACACGCTCAGATACTTCTGTCTTCTAACCCGGGTCTTTCTTCGTGCTGCCCCACTCCCCTAAGGGGATGCACACCGTGGGGCAGCAGCAGGGGTGGCCTGGGCATGGATTTTGAACCCCTCCTGCCTCTCTCCGGTCAGGAAACCCCGAGTGCTCTGCCCTGCACGATCTTTGGGAAGATCCCATTGCCTTTATTTTCTGTGTGGAGTAGGCAGAGGCGGCGGGGCTGGGGTTTGAGCCAGAATGTCCTCAGAGGCTCAGGGTGTGATCTGCTGCTAGCCTAAAGCTGGTGTCCAGGGTTTTCTTGCATCCCTGTGGCCAAAATGCCTTCTGTAAGCAGTCACACTCAGCCAGTCCCGTGCCAGGCTGGCAAAGAAAACTCCCTCTAAGGGTGCCCAGGGCCCTGGCTAGAGGGTAAACTGGAAGCCAGCCACAGTGGAGCTGTAACCCCACGTTCTTCTCGTGGTTGGCATTTGGGTTTGTTTCTCTGGAAACAGACTTTAAAGACTGAACGGGCAGCAGCGTGGCCACGCTCTCTAGAGCTGGGGTGCTGCTCTTAGCCAGGGCAGCAGGAGCCAGCAGCTGCCTGCAGGCCACTTTCTTCTCCATAAGCACTAATTTCTCCCCGGAATGAAAATCCACAAAAGGTGCTGGGATTCTTGTCTTGTCTTTGGAGAGCGTTGAGACCTCATGGCAAATTTAATGAAGGGGGGTTAGCCGGTGGGGGTGGGGGGCAGCCTGGGTGTCTGGGGGGGACGAGGGGGACGCTGACAGCCCGGTGTCTGTTTGCAGGTGTTGCTCTGCAATCCCATCTGCGTGGTGGGCTACGCCCTGGCCTCCTGGCGCTTCTTCAGGGAGCGGATCGAGGAGGAGGAGATCACCCTCATTCACTTCTTCGGCGAAGAGTACCTGGAGTACAAAAGGAAGGTGCCATCGGGTCTCCCTTTTATTAAAGGAGTCAAAGTGGAACTGTAACGTGGGCAATAACCCGACTGGCTGAGTGAACGCCCCAGCTCCAGGCGCCGCGGGGCGAAAGGGACGGTGTGTGGTGCCAGGAGGAACCCGTTGGTACCTCCCAGCAGCCC